CTCACATCACTCTGAAAAGCAAGAGCCAAAGACAGAGGCCTGATGATGATGAATGAGACTTCATCGAAACGTTGCCGCCTAGACACTTTGAATCTTACGCGGGAGAAAACCCGAACAACCAAAGATCCACATATATATATATATCCATCTACTCTTAGACCTAAATACAGATTCCTGTTTTACTAATTCACAGCAATTTCTAAACCCTAATTTGTAGTTGAATTATAATAATGTCATATTTTACATTCATATGCTTTGACAGAGCAAAAGAGACATTTTATTCTTTCCAATAAAGGAAAATGCAAGAAAGAAATCATGTAAACAACCTCGGGACTACTTCTGTCTGTCTGTTAAGAGGATTATTCTCCCAAATCCAAACAAAACTGGACCAAATTCTGTACAAAATGCCTACAAAAGGAAGAGTGAGTTTAAATATGGGCCAGATGTGGCCAGGAGTTGTGGCAAAACATTTTCCAGAAAGAAAACGTCTATAGAAGAAACAACTGGGCAGTGACTCTGGAATGTTGCTGCCTGCTCCATTCTAAGCCCTTCTCTGAATCTCTTCTGGGCCTGTGACTCACAGCACAGAGTATCTTGCCCATCCTGTGCTTCCCAATGCATGAATACACAAAAACACAATGGAAGAGCAGAAAGAGCTCCATGAGCAACATACACTACAATCCTCCCTTTAGACTAGGGGTCAGCAACCCACGGCTTTGGAGCCATATGTGACTCCTTCATCCCTCTGCTGCAGCTCCCTGTCAGCAGTTGGTGCCACAATTTTGAGAGAAACTTCCAGTTGGTGGGGAGGGGGAGAAGCACGGTGTGCTAGGAGGAGACTCTATGATGGGGGAACTGGACTTCTGGTTGGCTCCAGAATTGAATGGGGGGCTTCCGGTTAGGACCTTTGTGGCTCGTTGAGTGTTTAAGGTTGCCAACCCCTGCTTTAGACCCTCACACACTGTGACACATCTGCACACACCCTAATTAGCCCCCTTACGTAGTCCCTTACACACAACACACAGGCAGCTTGTATCACCAGTGTTGGTAAAGAGATTCAAAAGGGGAAAAAAAAAGATCTAATTGTATTGCACGCCCATGTTCAATAGTTGCTCTGGATAGAGCGTCTTTAAGAAATGCAATTTTCTCCAACACACAGCTTGCAATGAAATCTTGAACCAATGCAAAATATAACTTTCAGGGGATCTGTCCATGCAAGAGGTTCTTTCTTTCTTTCTTTCTTTCTTTCTTTCTTTCTTTCTTTCTTTC